AGGAGCTCCACAACCTGAAAGAACAGGCTGACAAGAATCTCAAACAAATGCTCAGACAAAAGTCTTGCACCTGGGAACAAACTCATGCATTGGCAAAGGCTGCAGACAGAGTAGGGGGCAACTCTCTACAAAAATGACTTGGAATCCTTGGTTGACAGCACATCAACAAACAAGTTTGTGAGCCAGTTAATCACATCCTGAACCATGTTTTCCATCTTGTAGATTATACAAAGTAGTGAGAGTTCTGAAGGCCAAAATGCTACCCTTAATCACGTGCTCACAATTTACTGCACCAATTTACTACCCATAGAAGAATTGCAAAAAAGTCTTTTTCAAAAGATCCCATAAACTAGTAAGATTACAGAGGGAAATGAGCAACTGAAACAAGCTTAAAGCATTCATCCTCCCAAAACTGCTCTAGTTCTGGATAAAATACAGTAGAAAAACATTCTAAAATAACTCTTTTTTTTTAAATAAGTATGAAGCTTTGAAACATGGCTGAGTGAAATAATCTGTTTTGCCAAATGCTAAAAAATGTATATAGAAAGCTATCATTTCCCCCCTCTGTAAAACTAAGCAAAAATAAATTTATTTCTTGTAAATGTATTTTCAGATTAACATCTTTTGCACTATCAGCTAGAAATTTTTCAGCAATTTTCTACTCTATATTTTAATATTTAACATTGTTACAGATACAAAACACTTTAAGCAGACTTTGTGTGCTCTTTATATAGACATAATACAACTGTTTGTTTACAATAGATGTAGAGCTTTGCAAGTCTCCACATTACCATTACTTTCCTTGTAACCAACAGACATCAGTAAAAAATCTTTTATGCTTACCAAAAAATTTGCTTACTGCTATTATTGTGGTCAACAAGTTCTAACCTGTTCTCTTTAATGAGACAAACAGCGCTAAATGCACATCTTATCACCTATTTCACAATCACCATTATCTGACAAAGCATGGAGACCTTTTTATGACCTACGAGCCAAAACAAAAGATGATTACGTATTTTCTTTTTTCTGTAATATGCTTATTACAACTGGTGTAAGAAACTGGTTCAAAACTTCTCAACAGGAGCTACCTAGAAATACTGCAACTAGTCAACTGAATCCGTTGTCTGACATATATCTTTTATTTTAAACTGAATGAAAAACAATAGGAAACTAAAGACAAACAGCATCATTTTCCTTTCATTATTTCTGAACTTTTTTTCTTTTTTTTTTTGCTATACTGGAGTTTACAAAGCACCACGTCCCAAGACTCGAACTAACAGAAGACAGGACCCAGAACCAGTTCTCTGGTTTGAGTTTTTTAAACTTTCATTTCAAACTTGAAAGGCTGATCCCTACTGAAGAGGTATCACAAGATCCATGTCACAACTTACATAGGGATGCTATCATAAAAAAAAAAGTATATGACCATTCTGCATTACAGCCCTAATCTCTACTTCACTTGAAGGAGAAGGGGAAGAAAAAAACACCAAAAAAAACACATTAGTTGTAACTGACAGTTCTTCTGATATTATATTACAAGACAAAAGACAGAACAGCTGTGAACACATTAAATGCTGGGTATCAGAATGAAAGAAGTTCACAGAGTGGTCCTTACCATTAGAGACAGATACAGAAAGTTAATATGAAAACTATTGGTAATGTTGATTTTAATTTATCAGAATCCAAGAAGCGAGCTGTCAATTGTCTGGCTCCAGTTCAATCTGTCAGTCAGTGACAGGTGAATGGAGAGTAAAATCACTATCGCTCCTAGGAGCACAGAGGAGATCCCTCAATTTCCTTGTACAATAGGAACATTTTGCCAGATAGTTTAAATCCTTATTACATTGGGCATCTTCAGAACTGTTAAGACCAGAAGCAAACACCTGCCTCAAGCCATTACTTACGAGTGAGGTCATCTTAGTCTGGACAGAAAAGTGGAGTCCCTGAACTCCTAGTCCACCCTTCAGCACTTAAGATCTTATGGGCACCTAAGTTTTTTCTCAGTGGAACTCTACAGTCATAGTGAGTTATGCTTCCGAGCATGCCCAAAATATTTTGCCAGAGATGGATGGCTTAAAATCTATTCAACATCAAACTCAATCAGAATGCCTGGACTAAGCACCCTTATCCCTAAGTTTTATCCTTAGTTGACTTCGCTCAGATCCAGTGCTCATTGAACTCTTGAGTTCAAAAAGGGCTGCGGCCATAGATTTAATTCAGAAAAATATACCCTTTTGTAAAAATATTCTGGAGGAGTATCATTCACCCATTTAACTTCACTGCCGCTTAGGAAGATTACAAATCTATCTCCTATGATTTCTCTACCCAGCAAGCAGAGTAAGGAGGAAGAGAAGGCTTAGAACACCTGTACAGCAGGAGTGAAGAATAGACATGGAGGACTCATGAAGCCAGACATAATTTATCAGCACGTGTGAAAATTGAGCACTCTCATAGCTCAGTGACAAAGGCACTCCCACGGATTCCAGTCCTTCAGACAAAATACCAGGGAGTGGAATGAACATATCCATTTCCCCGATGACTGCTTAAATACTTCATTACACCTCAGCTATTGCAAACTCCATTTCTAGGTACTCACAGTTGCAGCTTACACTATTGTTGCCAGCTGCCTACAAGAAAAGCACAGGAGTGCCAAGTGCTGTTTCGTATCACTCCTTTTATGGGCCCAGCCCTCAGTCGTCCTGTATCTTCATCCGCTCATTTGGAATGAAAGTTTGGAAGTTACTACCTTTTCAGCTGATGGATGTCTGTTCAGATGATTGATGTCCTGCCAAGACCCATGTCAGCTCAGCTCCCTCCAGAACAGGGACAATAATACATTCTCACTTCATAGGGGTGTTCTCAGACTTAAAGACATATATGTATATTTACACACACAAAAATTTTTAAAAAGGCAGAAACTCTTCACCAGAAAAGTAAGCATTTAACTTTCTGAAAAGATTAAGAATTTAAAAAAAGAAAACTTAAAAAGCATGAGTGCTTCTTGATTATGCTTAAACAGTAAATTGTTTGATTAAATTAGAGCAAATAATGGGGACATCACTAAATCTGGTGATATTAGGACAGTCTTTGTCAAATCTTATAAACAACGTTATTAATCTCAATTTGAAGCTATTTTCCACCAAACAACTGATGTCTGCTTTACATCTGCCATCCTTGCCTAATGAAAGCTTGTCCCAGAAACCTCAGTAAAGTCTGAAAACTCTGTAGATACTGAAGCATGCTAGCTTCAACAGCTTAATTACATTTTTACAAGAAAAGTTACATGAAGGTAGAAGTTACAGACCAAAAAGCTGTCTAGGTAAGTCAAACCTCTCTTCCGTATCACCAAAGGTAAATCTCACTTTGCAAAGCAAACCAAGATGTCCAACACTGGTCTGGCTCCAGTAACAATAACTACATTTTCAGAGAATATACATACAATATTACTTATTTCCACAATCTGCCAGATACCTGCCTCAGCTGTTACTTTTTCACAAGATAAGGTGTTTTCGCTCTGTTGGGAGGGGGTGAAGAGGTGATTCATTGCAATAGGAGAAAAAGGCCATGTGCCCCCATCCCACTCTTGCCATGTGCTAAAAGTCAAACCTGGCTAAAGACAGAGAATCAGAGCAGGCAACTGTATTTTCATGT